ATGAACGCTTCAGATCTGATGCGTTGACCGGTAATGGCATGCTATACTTCAGAGTTTGCTCTTGTGATAGTTGCTGACATTTTTTCAAATCAGTTGCGTTAAGCATGGCTGCTTCCAGTCTTACATATGCATTCTACAGTCAAACATACCTACTTTATTCATGTATAATATTTAGTCTTTATTTATTTTACAACAATTATGAATCAAATTATTTCAACTTATGTTGATCACTTTGGTTGGCACAGATGTAAGGTGGGAGGATTAGGGGTATTAATGTGTTAGGAAATCGGGGTACCCGGAGAAAACCCACGTGGTCGGGCAGGTGACTCCATACCTTTTCACGTCCGATCGGGGAATCGAACTCCGGCCGCGCTAGTGAAAGAGACGCACTATCCACTGCGCCACTCGACCATCCTTACTTTACTTATGCTAGCACTGAGGTTGTACATTTAAAGGTTTCCCTGTAGGCTGATCATTAGTTTGCAGCTGCAGTTGGTCACCGAGCTGGTATACAGTATAACGTCCTCGCGTGATGGACTGCCCAACTGTGTCAATCCCACTTCGAAGCCTGTGTCTTTTTTCTGCAAGAAGGTACAATAAAAGGTTTATAAACATTGTATATGCAGTTGGTAGGGGCCCCATATCCTCCCTTCCTTACTTCCTATCTGTTGTTCCAGAAACCACCGGGAGACTTATCCATCTCATTTGATACGGGGTTTTGGTTGTTGTACCCGCATCAGAAGCTAGGCTAAGAGAGGAGGCCATGTAAATATTGGCCTCTCTGTATTGGGTTGTGCCATACGACATCGAATGCCTATTATGCTTTCAAGAAGGCAGTATGTAGCGTATTGCCTGTCTCTGTGCATTTCGCTTTGAATTTAATATGCAACATTCGGTGACGTCGCTTCGGTAAATTACGCTCAGTTACGTTCTGTGCAACCATGGTATACATCATGACAAAACTGAAAGCTATGTACGTGCCAACTTGTTGGTAAAAGAAATAGACTAGATATATCCTTTGTAAAACAGTACATCAAAGGAATCGTGCGGCAGCATAACGGTGAAATGTACCGGCTTTGAAGTGTGGTGTCGCTCCTCTGTAACCTTCAAAGAACAGGTATTAACCTAGCGATTGGTCGACATCTTTTAAAAATTATGTCGACATGGATAACTCGTAAGTCGAAAGTCGACGGCAGAAATATGCCAGCATTCTTCCTGTAGGTCGGTGTTATGATTCCTGAATCAAAGGCCCCATGAATGGTTTGGTCACCACTGATGTCAATAAAGAATGTTTTGCTAGGACTGAAAGTAGACTGCCACCTGCGTATTTCAGATGTTCTGCAGTAATAGCATCCCCATGTGCAGTTTTCCTATTTCATTGTATTATCAATGTCGTGTTCAGTATACCCTCTGTGTATACAGCTGTACATGTATCTTCTGAGACGCCTTACTTGTATGTGGTTTACCGCGATGCCTTAAGTAGTTAGCTTATCATGAGAATTTATCGTCAGCGACAAAAAAACTGAGCTGCATTAAACTTTCATTAACTCATTCACCCCGAACATTCATAATGAACTATTCCAATCTTTGAATGGGAAGAGTTCAAATGTGTCATCAGGGGTGAATGAGTTAAACTACGGAAAATCTGATAGTATATGTTTACCGTAACTTCTGACGACGAGACAAGTTCTATATATTGCGTCCGACCGGGAAAGAAGAGGCCGGGTATCAATATTACTACTTATGTTTTTCTTAACTAAGAATAAGCGTACACTCAATCATTTGATATTGAAATAGTTTTGTTTGGTATCATTGAGTGTATTGTCCTTTATCTACAGCTTGTGTCACTAAAGGACGTGCCTTCACGTGTGTTATGTATGCGTGCATGTGTGTGTGTGTCTGCTGAGGACGGTATGTCAATGAATTTGCCTTCTTGCGGTAGTGAGATTCTGATGCTGACTATAGAGTGCTACCCAACAAAGTATTCGGTGACGTCATACCGACAACGGGTTAACCACTTATTAAGATTATCCTCAATACTGAACGTTTAGCGTTAAAAGGGTTTTGGTATTTCCCGGTCTGGGGACAAAACCCATTGCCTTCCATCAGTGGCAAACATTAAACACCAAGGACAAGCGTGTGATGTTGCCAGGCAAGACAATAGGGGGG